AGGGTACATATAATATGCTGTAGTATTTTATAGTTTTTTTTTACATGTATGAGATTATTTCAAATTAAAATATTAAAAATTAAAAATTAATAAAATATTAATTGAAATGTGTATGCATTACATGAAAAATCTCCTAATTGCTTCCAGCATAATTTATTAAATTGTGTTAACATTTACAAGGGTTCAATTAAAAGATATCTTAATTCTAAATGATATAATATAAAATATAAAATAGTGCAGTTATAAGCAATTATCTGAAAATAAAAATTTAAAGACGTGAATTTAAAGAAGGGATTACCCAAAGAAAATATATGCACAACCCATGGACACAGGCAGCAGTATGGTGATGGCCAGTGAGAAGTGGGGGGCAAGAGCTGGGTAGAGGAGGCAAAAGGGGGGAAATAGGGACAACCTATATCCTATATAATAAAAGGCTAATATGCAAATTGTCCCATTGACCAGATGTTGGACTGGGAGTTCGACTAGGGGGCGGGGCCAACCGGCCAATTCCCACAGCCCCCCCCTGCCAGCCCTGAGATTGGCCCCTCCACCCTCATTGGGGGCAGGGCTGGCAGGCTAACCTCCTGCATTCCCTCCCCCAGCTGGCCTGTGCTGATCGGCCCCAATCAGGGCCAGACCCCATCCGTGCACGAATTCGTGCACTGGACCTCTAGTAATAAAAATAAAAGGCTCATATGCAAATTGACTGAAAGGCAGAATGACCGGTTGCTATGATGAGCACTGGACACCAGGGGGCAGACGCTCAATTCAGAAGCTGCCCCCTGGTGGTCAGTGCACTTCTATATGGGGAGTGCCACTCAGCCAGAAGCTGGCTCATGGCTGGCCAGCGCAAAGGTGGTGGCAGGAGCCTCTCCCACCTCCGTGGCAGCACTAAGAATGTCCAACTAACGGTTTAGACCCGATCCCTTGGGGGCCTAAGCCTTTAGTCGGACATCCCCCAAGAGCTCCCTGACTGTCAAAAGGATGACTGCAAGCTTAGGTCTGATCCCCCTGGGAATGGGCCTAAGTTGATAGGTGGACATCCCATAAGGGGTCCTGGACTGCAAATGGGCGCAGGCCGGGCTGAGGTACCCCCTCAGGTGTACCTCAAATTTTTGTGCACCAGGCCTCTAGTTAACTATAATGATCATGCTGTACACTATATCCCCTGGACTTATTTACTTTATAACTGGAAGTTTGTACCTTTTTACTCTCTTCATCCATTTTGCCCACTCTCAACCTCCACCTCTGGCAGCCACCAATCTATTGACTGTATCTATAAGTTTTTTTGGTGTTGTTCTCATTTTTAGATTTCACATATAAGTGAGATAATGTAATATTTGTCTTTCTTTGTCTGACTTATTTAACTTAGCATGATACCCTCAAGGTCAATGTATGTTGCAAATGGCAAGATTTCATGGGCAGCATATACAGGGCTGGGAAAAAGTAGGTTTATAGTTGTTCATATGGAAAATAATACAATAATCCTGTCTAATAATAGACAAACATGGTAATTGACCATACCTTCGCTAGACCTACCATTGGCTAATCAGCGAGATGTGCAAATTAACCCAACCAAGATGGCGGCTGGAAGCCACGCAGCTGAAGCGAGCAGGAGGCTTGCTTGCTCCAGTGATGGAGGAAGCCAAGGTTCCCCGCCTGCCGTGGCCCGGCTCTGAGCTCCTAAAGCAACAAAGTTTCAATTATAGAAGCTAAACAAACCCCAGATACCTGCTTTCAGCAGGCCATGGCCACAGAGCTGGAGCGAGCAGGAGCCCGGCTCTCAGCTCCAGTGACGGCAACAAAGTTTCAATTAAAGAAGGTAAATAAATCCCAGAATAATAAGAAAAGAATAAAAGGAGAGGCTGGTAGCTTCAGTTGCCGGCCAGCTTGAAAACGGCCCTCAGTCCCTCACCCAGACTGGCCAGGCACCCCAGTGGGGACACCCACCCTGAAGGGGGTGTGACCAGCTGCAAACAGCCATCAGCCCCTCACCCAGGCTGGCCAGGCACTCCAGCGGGACCCCCACCCTGATCCGGGACACCCTTCAGGGCAAACCAGCCGGCCCCCACCCGTGCACCAGGCCTCTATCCTATATAGTAAAAGGGTAATATGC